GAGAGAAAAAGCGATTTATTGCGGTAAAGCGGATGGGGAGCTCAGCCCAGGGCCTGCTGATGTCCCCAGGGCTGCTTTGCGCGAGTTTTAACCTCTTTCACGAGCTGAAGAAAGTTTATTTCTATCATGGAAGTGCAAAACGGCACCTAAATATCGTGACAAAACCATCTAACAACTGTTTTCCTTTCGGTTTTTTTCCAGTGGTTCACAGGGTTTTGAAGCACCTGCACGTTTGAGTGCAGGCAAACTCTCGCTCCCTTGCCTGTCAACTTCCTGGTTTCCGAGGCAATGCCCAAGGTGAAGAGAAGCAGGAAGCCTCCCCCGGATGGCTGGGAGCTGATCGAGCCGACGCTGGACGAGCTGGATCAGAAGATGAGAGAAGGTAAGCGGCAGAGTTGGGTGTTCACAGGGGAGAGACCCTGAAACAAGCTGCAGGAGCCCAGCTTTGATCTTTGCCTTGCAGTGGTACTGCAGACAGACTGGGCAGAACTGGTCACTTTTTTCTGGGTGTACGCTGGTTACAGAGCACAGAGTTTTGGGGAACAGTTGTTTTAGGGTATTCCATGGCTGAGCCCTGGCTGAAGCTCGCTGGTGTGTGTGAAGGGACTTGTAGTTCCGGTCTGACGAGCCAGGGCAGCCGTGAAGTCACCTGCCATCCCAGTGTGGGTCATGTCATCTCCACTGTCATTCTGGTTTTATTTCCTAAAAGGGTTGTTCCAGGTCAGGTCCCTGTCATTTAAATTTTCTCCCAGTAAGCTTGGTCTGATCTCTGTAATATATTAAAGTTATGAACGTTTTTGGAAGGGTTTATTGCAAAGTGGTTAGGGAAATAAGTTGACCGCCTGAAATGAGCTGAAACCTGGTGTTTGTGTTCCCTCTCAGCGGAGACCGAGCCTCACGAAGGGAAGAGGAAAGTGGAATCCCTTTGGCCTATCTTCAGAATCCATCACCAGAAAACACGTTACATCTTTGATCTCTTCTATAAAAGAAAAGCCATCAGCAGAGGTGAGGAACACAGACGCTTTACCCTGGGCAGGGGAGAACAGAACGCAGTAAGGTGTCTGCCTGCAGATGTGCCCGAACTGGGCAGTGGTGGGAAGGTTGTTACTGGGGAGGGAAGATGGGAGGGAAAGCTGACAGCTGCCTGGCTCTAACTGCTAGTTACTACAGCTGGTAATTCCTGATAGTGAGTCTTCTAATGCTTCCCGGGAGCTACTTGTGATGCTGTCTGCTCCTCTACAGAGCTCTACGAGTACTGCATCAAGGAAGGATACGCGGACAAAAACCTGATCGCAAAGTGGAAGAAACAGGGTTACGAGAACCTCTGCTGCCTGCGGTGCATCCAGACACGGGACACCAACTTTGGAACCAACTGCATCTGCAGGGTCCCCAAAAGCAAGCTGGAAGTGGTAAGGGGCTTCACGTCTTCCTCTGCTTGTCTGGACCCTTGCAATATCTGGTCTAACTCCTCCCTGGTCAAGGACAGCAGAGCAGGTGGTGCTGTTTTTCCTGGTATTTCCCTCCTGTTCTAACATTTTCTTTGCTGGTAAAGCTGGTATCTAGCTGGTTCTAAAGTTACTGTCAGCTTTGGCACATGGTCATTTAAAGTCATTAAAGTATGGAAATGACAGAAAACCAGAGGGTAGAAACCCTTCCCGTACAGCCCCATTCCCTGCCTTGAAGGTCAGAGCCTGCTGCTCGCTCTGCTGCTGTAGCTGGGCTGAAATACCTTCCTCGTGTTTCTTTTCCAGGGACGAATCATTGAATGCACTCACTGCGGATGCAGAGGCTGCTCTGGGTGAAGCCTTTAGCCATGAGATGACTTTCTGAACTCTGAGGGATGGCATCCTGCACGAGGGACTGTTGGTGCAGTTACAGCCACCTTCTGTGTGATTGGGTATTTCCGTATAGCGATTAAACCAGCAGCGTATTCACCTGGGTTGTACGTACCATGGTGGTTGCTTTGGAGTAAGTTTGTGTAGCTGTTTATTTTAGAATAAAGTCTGCCCTCGTGAGAGCGGTGCGATCTTCTGGTACAACATTTCTGTGCCCCACTTCTCCTGATGGATGTGGTGTTGGTTGGTTGGTTGGTTTGAAGGTTGCTCTATGTACTGTGAAGTGTTCTAAATGTGGGTTGTTTTTTAACCAGCTCTTAGCCCTCTTTCTCAACTAATCGGATTTAAAAGGCTGTGGGGAAAAGAAATAATACATTTCTCAATTCAACCCCTCCCCTGATGCACTGTAACTCTCTGCTGAGGTTTGTAACCTGTGATTAGAGCCATTCAGCAATGCCAGCTGCCTACAGCTGCCAGTTAAGGAAATTCCCTGAAAATGTATCTGCTTCACCTTGAAACAAAGAACAAGGATTTTATTGTAGTTGGCGCAAGAACTTGGACTCATGGAAATACAAAGCAGCTTTACTACAAGACAGTTTCAGGAGCAAGTTCCAAGTTTTTCCAGCACAACTAAGACACAGTATGTCAGCATCTTACTGCTGCTGCTGCTGCTCTGGCTGCTCCTGCATGGCCTCTTCTTTATTGTCCACACGCTTCACTGTTCTGTATTTTTCCCAGGGATGAGGCGTCTCCTCTCCTGCCATTACTTTCAACCACCGATAATAGTAGCCACGGAAACCATCAATTTTCTCCAGATATGGGTTCTTTGACTTATACTGCAAATACAAATCCAAGAAAACAAGTTTCTATTAGAAGAGAGCTTACTCCACTACCAGCCTGCAATAGCTACAAGCTGCTGCTGAAGAAACAGCCACTGAGTCAACTGTCAGCCACATTAGACAACGCCAAAGGAAAAAGGCTTAGGCAAACATCTATGTTTCCCCTCCTTGTGGTGTCTGTGGTGCCTTCATGCTCTGACCAGTTGTGGCTACTTACCCTGTCAAATTTTGGAGGGTACTGTGCTGCAAACTCCAGCTGGCGTATGATAACTTCATTGGGAGCCACCTGGTTAGTCCTCATGTCTCGCAGGATCTCTGTCAGGTACCTGTAATCCAGCTGCCTGACAGCAGCAGCAATGAGGGTGCTGTAGATGTACTTGTTGGGAGTTACTCCAGACCTCTGGAAACAACAAATGCTACAGTTAAACTTGTTTATTTGCCAACAAGTGCAGGACTTGTAGAAGGAAAAGGCATACGGGGTCTTCTTACATGAGGAGCAAGGCTCTGGCTCTGGAACCCCTGTCCCAGCACAGGTACAGCACAGGCCACCTGAGCTGGCACCTGCCCTCCAGTGGCACACTTTTGGAGAACACAACCACTCACTCCCACAGAAACCCCAGCACGTCTTTTTAGAAGCATGAATGCTTCAGTTTGCCTCCCCCTGCAGCTCAAACCCCAACCTGCAGAGTTTATTACCTTCAAATCTGAGAGTAACTGCAGTCCGTCCTTCTCTTGGTGGCAAGCGATTGCCAAGTTACAGAAGGTCTGGAGGTTGGGCGAGAGTCCCCTCTTCACCAGAGCTGGCAGCACGCTCTGCAAGATACAGGGCTTGGCATCAGTTTCCAAGAAGTCTCACTGTTGCTTTCCAGACAGAGCTGAAGGTGCTACAACAGAATCTGTAATTAAAATTTAACCTGAGCACTGGTTTGTGGAAAACTCAGATTCCAAGTTGCTACTGCGGATACAGAAATGGGACTCACAGCAAAACACAGGTAACACTGGAGGCCTGAGACAAAGCTGTGATGATGGGGCTGGTTCTGAGTTTCTCTCACCTTTGCTGCTTCCAGGTTTCCCTGTTTACTTTTCTTCCTTATTAAAGTGTTGAAGAAGGTCACATCTACTTTCACTTTATGCTCATCCAGGAGTGTCAGCAAAGAGGACTCTGAGGGGCTTTGGGGTTCCACCAGCTCAGCCAGTAATGTAAATGTCTTAATGTTGGGTTCTGCGTTGTCCTCTTTCATTTTATTCAAGAAGCCCTCCACGTCCCCCATCAAAGCCAGTCTATGGGATGGTGAGGCCACCGTCCCCAAGGAAACCACGGCTGCGTTGGGCATCCTGGAATCCAACAAGTTGGGCAGGTTGTAGAAATGCTGCTTCTGGCTTAGGCATGCCTGTGCCTGCTCCATCTCATTCCAGCGTCTCCTCATCAGCACCCCAGTCCTGCCGTGAGCTGTGCTGGGGCGGTCAGGAGCACCTGGTTCTGGCTCAGTGTGATTCACATCTTTAGTTTGTTGCTGGATCAGTTCTTCAGGCTGTGCCCAACTCTCCTGAAATAACTGCTTTTCCATAGCTTCCACATCCAGCTGGACAGCAGCTGTGCTCTCTGATCCCTTCTTCCTCTGATTTTTCACCTTTTTCTTCTGCATCCCGGGTGCAAGCCGCAGCTGAGATGAGTTCTCCTGGGTGGGTCTGAGCAGCAGCTGAGAAGCGACAACAGGATCACCGATTCCACAGTCTCGTGCAGCGCGCAGCATCAGATTGTAAGTGTGGCTGTCGGCCTTTATTCCAAGTTTAGCCATTTCTTTCCAAACCTGAAAAAGGGAAGATAAATGCGGTATTAAATAACAGGAATTGTTTCTAGCAGATTGTAAGCGTTATCTGTTAATGGCATCTGCTTGCAGAAAAGGAGAGAGTTGACAGCATGACGAGGTGAGACACCACTGAACAGCTACCTTGAGCTGGACCAGTCCTGCGAGATCACCCAGGGTGCTTTACCAGTGTCTGAGATGTCCTGACAGAGGTCTCCATCACAGAACCCCTCCTATTTCATCCACTCTGAACACCCTGCTGCTTTCCCTGTGTTCAAGTGACAAGTTACAACACACAAGCACTTTTTCCTCCCTGTTTAGAACGCAAAGACAAACCTGCAAGGCGTATCGGAAACCATTTTCGCTGTCCTTTATGCAGCTCATGAGAAGGAAGCTGAAAGTCTCAGCTGTGGGAACATGGCCCTTGTGCACGATTTCCTGAAAGAGCAGAGAGAGCACTGAAGTTTCTAGTTGCACAAATACGGCTGTTTTCTTCAGAGGATATAACAGCAACAAAGCAGAGAGCGAACTCCCAGTGCTGTGAGCAGAATGATTGCTCAAGGAGAGAAAAAAAAGCCCTGAAATGCCTGTGTGGATCGCAGTTCCTCCTTTACAGGAGCTACAGGGAATTTGCAGGCAGGAACAGCAATCATTTTAACTACTCCCAGACTGGCCCTTCTGAGAAGAGCTGCTGTGAGAGCTCTCAGAGGAATTACTTATCAATATGTGGGTCTTCAAAACAAACTTGAGACAGACACAGTAGCTGTGAACCCCTCCCAAAACTTTATGTCTTTAACACACCTGACCAGAGTTTTAAAGCCAACCTCTGCAGCTGCCTCCTTTTGTGTACTTAAGCTTAATTTTTGGTTATGTACACAAATAATTTCATTGCATGAGACCAAGGATCAATTAAATATAAACACGATCTGTAAATGAAATGAAAAAGTCTATGCAGCGTGGCAACTCCAGGAGTTTTAACCAGAGCAGACTACACTTGATAGGAGAAAAGTCCCGTATTTACCTTCAGTACATCAAAGCACGTCCTGAGATCGGAGCACAGGGCACAGACCTTCAGCAGCGCGTGGTAGGTGATGAGGTTCAGCTCTTCATTTTTGCTCTGCAGCTGCTGCCGGAGTTTGAGAGCGCTCTGCAGGCCTGAGTCTTTCCACGGTGACTCGGCACAGGCGTTGAACAGGGCTGTGTAAGTGGCCTCAGTGGGAGTTAAGCCTCGTTTTTTCATCTAAGGGAAGAGAAGAAGAATTGGAACCGGCTTTTAGGTAAAGACTTCTGGAATTTCATAACGTGGTTATAAGAGTTTCAGGCTAAGATGCAAAAGCTAACTCAGGCATTTTAGAGACAAAGTAACGTGCTAGAAACAGTTTTAGTTTAGAAAATGTAAAGAAGGTTTGAGGGGAGAAAACGCAAACCTACGTCATTGTAAAGCCTGAACGCCTTTTTCACGTAGCCAACCCTGCCACAGCCACCAATGAGAATGGTGAGCCACCAATGAGAAGGGTGTAATTGCTTTCCTCAGGCCGCACTCGCTCTTCCTTCAGCATCTGCACCTCAAACAGCTCCAGAGCCTCTGCCAGCTGCAGGGAAAAGGAAAACCCAGGATGAAGCATGAACAGAATCGGCGACAGCAGGCATCAACACACACAGCTGTGGGCAGGTGGTGGTAGAAGTCCCACAGTGCACAGAGTCCTCACAAAGCCACTACAGAGCCTCTGGGATGACACAGATGGGGCGGAGTTGCATCTTTCCTTAATGCAATTAAAACTCAAATAAGGGGAGGGCAGGGAGCAAACCTTGTCTGCTTTGATGAGGGCCTTGCACTGTAGAAAGTACCAGTATGGGGTGTTCTTGGGACCACGTCGGGGTTTGCTTTCCGGTTCTTCCTCTCTCTCTTCTTCAAGCTTTAAGTTCTGAAAGTGTGATGTGGTTTTGTGATAAAATTTTCTAGAAGAGAATTTATTAGACAGCGTCCCGAACTCCACGCCTTCATCATCCTCCTCCTCCTCCTCCTTCTCCTCCTCCC